AAACGATCGACGCGATGGCGGAGCTGACGTATTGGATACTGGCCCTGTTCTACATTCTTGGTGAGTACACCAAGCTTTCTTTCTTCTCCTTCTTCTTCTTTGAATTATCGCGGAAAACTTGTTAGATGTTTGTTTGCACTCTGTGTTTTGCTCGACGTCTCTTTTTAAATCGTTGCGTGGCTGTTGCAAGGAACCCTTGAAAATTTCGTCCAGGCTTCGTTTTGCCGGATGACGATAGCTGGAAAATATTTTAGTAGACTTCTCTTCTAAATTATTCCAAGGCTATTTCAAGGAACCCTTGAAAATTCTGTCTAGACTGTGTGTTGTTCGATAACGTTGGCTGGAAATATTTTATTAAATACTTCTCGCTTTAAATTATTCCGAATCTTCTTCCGAATTTTTGAAAATTTTCTCTCGACTTTGTTTCGTTCGATGATATTAATCAGAAAAATATTTTATCAGACTTCTCTTTAAATTTTGATAGAATCCTTGAAAATTTTGTCCTGCACTCTGCCTTGCTTGATAGACAATAGATGGAGAATATTTTATTAAAATAAATTTCGATGATTAGCAGGAAATTCACAGACTGACCAATTTCATTTTTTGTAATTTGTCATTTCTTAATTTTCGTTGAGTAAATTAGTTGGAAATTTAATCGGACTTTTACGAGGTAAATATAAAGGAAAAAGTCACTGAGATTTAAAATAGACATGAAATGAAAGAATATTTGGCCATTCTTAAAAAGACAGTATGAGTGTACAATCGATATTTATTATTGGTTACAATCAGCACGATTGCGTTGGTAATTTGTTATTGAAACGAAAATTATGGACGCCATTATTATACATTCGGAACAGGTGATTGTACATGATTAATTGCTCGGAAGAAAATCGCTGGGTATTTACAGAGATAATTGTTGGAATGTTTAAGAGAATTTAATGGAACTTTAACAAAGATGCAAAGTTATTTAATTAGTGATTACAATTCCATATTTTAGGTATTGTTATTGCTTGCTCGTTCCGCGTAATGATATTAATCTTCGTTCAACCCATCACTCTGCTGCGATCCTTGAATTTTCATATTTCAATTCTGATTTCATCCCGGCAAATAAAACAGATTTTTCATTTATCAGGTTATTTGCAAATCTAAAATATTTTTAAAGATTCGAGTCAAAAACGAAAAAAAATTAAATAGAAAATATTCACAATTATTTGTGATGGCAATATCGCGTTCTCGGTAACAATTCTAATGATAATAATATTTGTAAATCTTAAATGCGCCGCATAAACGACAATCCATTCAGTATGCAGACGTTCAAAGAAATATTCAGAATTTCAATTGCTTGCGGAAAAGAAGTTTCTTCAGAGCGATAATAAGATGACAATGCTATGAATGTGACGAATATCATGCACCGGATGTGTAATTAAAAGCACAATGAAAACCTCCAAGAACGAACAGCATTGTAACTTTACATTCTTTCGTATTCTCCGCCAGAGAAAGAAACTTTTAAAGAGAATCGAGTTCCCTTCAGTCGTCCAAACGTAGCTGCGAATGTTAAAGAAAATTTTCTCTCGCGATATTTGAATGTCGGCCGCGTTGGCAAACTTTCGAATTAAAAGGACCAGCATTCGTCGATAAACCGTAGCAACGAGCTCTCTGATTAATTAAACTTCAATTAGACTTCATTCATACGTAAAATTGGGTTAAGAAGCCTTTCATTGACGCCATATTTGCCAAAAACTTCCCTTCCAATTTAGCTGTTAATTACATTGTTAAGAGAACGTGTTTTTTTTTTTTTTTTTTAGGAATTCTGTACTAAGAATTGCTTAACGAACGCGTGTAATATTTTAATTGCATATGACGTACAGAGAAATTACGTGCGATGATCACGAGAAATTAATGAAATGTGATTTTAAACAAACCGTTGAAAGAATTTCCTGAAGAGTTGAAAAATTTAAACAAAATATAATTTTTCTAAATATACGTGGCATCTCGTCTCATCTGCAAAATTATTGATAGAATGACAATGATATAATTTTATTACAAATTACGTAATTTTACGTAATTTTACGAAAATTTCTATCAAATTATCTAGAGAATAATTTAGTTTGGGGGAATGTAATTAGAAGGAAAGAGATTATTTCATTATTTCAAGATTCTACGTTAATTTATCTCATCCAGCGAGTACTATCGAAATGTTACATCTAGTTAAGAGTATAACTGACACCAGTATATATTTTACTCTTAATGACATTATTAGCTTATTAACTGAATTACTTGTATTCCAATTTCGTCGACTGATGACACGTTATATATATGTTATCAGGCTGTATCATTATCTATCAGCAAATCATACCTAAGATCCTTCGATTGGATAAATATAACTTCCCCTCGTCAAATATTGGCGTTAAATCAGATGTGCGGTAAGATCGGAGCAGAGGAAGCGATGTTACGATTTCTGAACGCCAAACGATGGAAGCTATGCTGTGTGAAAATAAACCATCATCGATCATACACGTGTGATTGCAGTATATACGCAGTTTCATTTTTGTGTTCTTTTTTTTGCTTTTGAAAACTTCTGGGTTGGGTTAAAGATAGATAGATCGTGGGAGAGGAAAATCGGGACGAAGATTGTTTCGATTCGTTGCTCGTTAGAAACGAAATAAAACTGTAGGCACTGTCATTAGGAAGGGAACGTAATTTTCAGTGGAAATTTTCTTCAACAGAAAGACTCCGACATTTTTGATCATACTTCTAATGATAAATAAGTTAAATTTAATGTCACCACTGCAGAGAGACTTTTGAATTATAGTTGAAGAAACACGGAGTTGTATAAATTTCAACCGTGTGAAACAAATTAAAGAGAGAGAATAATAATTGTCTTCCTAGTAAATCGATAAACATGTTAAAAAAAAAAAAAAAACTAAAAAGCGGTTAAACGATTCGCGACTTCAGTCGCCGCAAGTGGCGCAAAGTTTACGGAAACTAGGGAAAGAGGATAAGCACGAATAGAATGAAAATGGACAAGAGGAGAGAAAAAAATAAATATAACGAGCGGAAGTGGCCGTGACGGTTGGAACAGTTCCACGTGCAGGGAAAAAAAAAAACAAAATTCGATCCCGGAAAGGGGCTCTCGATCCAGTTTGCTGCCCGGTTCGCCGCGAGACTCCTCTCGATGAATTTACATCGACGAGTTTTTCGCGGTTTGCTAAATCGCGAGCGCTTACGATCGACGGAAGCGATAACGCTGATCCTCTCGGATGCGGACCAGACATACAAAACAAAAGCAGAGCAGAGAAAGAAAAAGAAGAAAAAAAAAAGAGGGGAGATAAAAATACCGGGAAAGGGATAAAGGGTGCTGGTGGATAAACCGATCACCGGAAGGACGCTTGTTCGCGCGAAAATCGAGTTTTACGAGAGCCTGGCCAACGGTAATCCGCCTGTTTGCCATTTTTCCCGACGAAAAACGGGAAAAAAGAAAAACCCGCTTTCGTCGCGACTTTCTGCTACCGACTGTTGATCGGTATTTGTTAAGCTAACGAAACGAAAGAGCCTCTAGGCTTCTCGCGATGCTCGAGAGACCTCTCTCTTTGTCTCACGTGTTTTAAGTGCTCGCTTTCGGAGATTTTATCACGGAGGGAAAGACGTAGTTTAACACTAGAACTACCGACAGTTGAGACGTAGCTATCTCTACCAAAACCAGTTATTTTAAATGAATAAAACAAAATTAAAGTTCATTATATTAATCCTTTAGCTATCCCTGCAAAAGTCATTACGTCACTGCGAAGAAAAAATGTAACATGAAGTAGGAATTTTAAAATAAAGTTGTCAAACCAGTCAAAATGACTGGTGTGGTAGTTCTAGTGTTAAAGCAAAACGACGGTTGACGAAACTGAATGAAAAGAAAAATTACATCTACTTATATTACAGATTCAAATTAGAAATTGATTTAATTTATCTCGTTTTCACATTTTCTAAATAATTTGCCGATGGCGAAGAAATTCAGTATTAAGCTATCACGCATTGCTCACGGTGTTAAAACTACACGTACAGAATAATTCATATAATGTTCATTTTTTGTTAACAATCCTACTATCAAATTTTCTTCCCGAGCAGGTGTGTGCATATTCCACATTTCTATCCGATCGCTTTTCATTGCGAAATTGCACCGTTCGTCACTTCTGTGCGCGCGAATGTCCCGCGCAAATCGTTTATGAAGCTGGCCCCCTCGTCATCTGTCATACTTAGCGTACCCACACGTGTGTCGTTTTTTATTAACAAGAAAAACGTGACAAGTGTTTAACTACAGACGTGTTACACGTGAGAGAACGCTTCTGTCACATTGTTGCACGTGCAGACGTCCATCAATGATGGTAAATATCGGGCACGATATTACGCGTGGCTCCCTGCAACATTGTTAGATGAACACGCACATTGTAACACGTGAAAACTGCGTGTCGAATGTCAGACATTTGTGGATAAAATGATGATGACACTGGCTCGAAGAGATTAGGTCGATCGATCGGGTAGAAAGAAGTATCTTTCGCGTGATTCATCATCGTCGTTCGACACGTTCGGCAAATTTCACGCATCGAAAGATCAAAAGTTTTGTCTATAGATTGGATATAGCCGGAGGTTATTAGCCAGTTAAGTTCAATGTTACATCCTGTCTGAGTGCGATAGAAGGCCCCAGCACTCCCCAGTTGACTTATGACGTTGCTCAGATAATCTGTTATGATCGCGTGATTTAGTTGCGT